CCTGTCTGTACTGTGTGTTGAGTCAGGCTTTTTTCTGCTTCCACTTTTAACCTTCTGTCCCTTTAAATGACTGTAGAGCCTCTGTCTAAATGAAGGAAAACCAAAATACTAAGCTTTGAATTATGCAGTAAATGTCATTTACATTTCTTGTTTGAAATGATTAAAATCGGAAAGTTCAACAGCATCATGGTCTTACTGAATGTATTTTAAGAGATTTAATGAGCTGAAATTATGTTTTAATGAGGCAGAAATGTGGACATACTGTAGCGCTGAGTGGTTTTCATTTATGGTGACATGAGCTAAGCAGATCTACAGTACAACAGATCTGCTTGCAGAACCCAAGCTAGGATTTCTGCTCAGTCTGATATTTTCTTTATTCTGGCGAGATAGAATTCAAAAATAGCCCAGGGCTTAGGTGTAAAAAGGCTCGGCTCAAAGTCACTGTGTGCAGCTCGCAGGGCTCCAGCCCTTCTCCTAATGAAGCCTGACAATGCGAAGGTGTTTCTCCACAAAGCCTCTGCAGCTGCTAGATTTCAGGTGAATGTGATTCCCCGTCCTTCAGATATCCAACTAAAAATCATCAGAATCCTTAAACCTGCAAGTATCGTTTCTACAATGTGTTTTTGATTTAAAGCACAACTTCACAGTTGTTTGTATTGATGGATGTGAAAACTTTTATGAAATAAGCTGACAGACAGTATCCTAATATTTTTATTAGGGATGTGAATGTTTTTCCAACTCCTAATGTTTGCTAGACAGTTTCCAGGTTTACTAATGCTACTGCTAATGGGTTGTTTTTGGCAACAGGATGCAAGAGGGGGGTCACTACAGTTGCTGGGAGTTGGAGGGGATTTTGCTGGGAGTTGCAGGGAAGTTGGCTGTCATTCGGCTGGGAAGGGCCATTGTTAATGGCTGCTACTGTATCTGTTTATGTCAACTTATTAGTCAAAGCAGTACCAAGATGGACAATTGGTGCACATATCGCCTTATTTTTCATAATCAAGTGGATTCTGATCTTTTTGGTACAGGCATGTACCTATCACCTCCTTTAGACCTTTCACAAATTTACATTAAACTCTTAGTCCAAATTCCGTTAATTCTAATTTATTAATGCTTTACACTTAAAAATATAATTTAATGGAAGGAATGTCTAACCATGTAGAATTATGCTAAGGAATGCCTAATTTCAATAATTTGCACACAAAATATCTAAATGTAAGTACATTTTGCAACATCAGTCACTGTCGAGTTAAATTTATCTAAAAGATTTTTCTGTTCTCCTTGAAGCAAAAGATTATTTATGAGTACCATAATCTGCTCTTGGCAAAAGCACTTGCTTTAAGAATAAATATATATAAGGATTTCAAATAGTCTTACCAAGAGTAACTGTTCTACTGTACTAGCAGATTATTGGATTTATTATAAGTAGAATCCTTTTAAAAGAAGATTGATAATCCAATAGTATCTGTTCTTTCTTAGTATGTCAATCTCAAAACAAGACCAAAAACACTTTTTGGGTAGATATAAGTTGGTCAGACTTCATTAGATTGACATTTTTTTGTGTGCAATTTGGTCAAAGAAGATATTGATAGAATATCCCTCTCACTGCTACTAAAACTTGAGACATTTCACTTTTTAGAGAAATAGCATGAGTATATCCAAAAGATAAAAACAGGTATTATTTACCTACATCTGAAGGAACATAAAGCTTCCTACGACCGAGAATCAAAGCACATACATAGAAATTATCCACAACCATTTGAGGAAACAATAAGATCTATCGTTCCACTCCCTGGTTATGACAGTTGTCTCTTTCAATCTCTCTAACAGACAGTGAAGGTCCAAGGCAATGACATCTCCCACAAGCTACAGATCTCCAGAGTCAGCAAGAATGACGAAGGACTCTATGAGTGCCGGGTGACCAGAGCCAACTATGGAGAGATTGTGGAATACAAAGCCCAAGCCTGGCTTAAGGTCAACGCCACAGCCAGGCCTCGACGGCCACTGCCCCCCGCCAAGAAGAGCTCCCCACTGCACCTGAAAGATAATAAGCCAAGAAAGTCCACCTCACCATTGAGCCAAGACAACATGAGTTCAGACCAGAGGGTGGCCTCCACATCCACCTCCCACACATCCTCCAATACAGCTAAACGCATCCCCAGCTCAGGTAGGAGCTTGGTCCATTGTGGAACCCAATGCAATTCATACATCAGTGACTTCACATATTGAATGTTCAAGGTGCTGCCATTACTGTATGACTAACTAAGTAAGGCCAGACATTCTTGTTATTTCATCTAATAAGTAAGTATTGAACATCTATGTCATCCAATCGTTGCATTTCCTAAGTAGCTACTTTTTTTCTTGTGGGTATCTTTTTACATTGGTCAGACATAAAGCAACATTATTTTTTCTTTAGTCTTTCACTGAATTTCATCACAAATCCACAAAAATAATTTGTGGTACAGTGGTACAGTTACTGTACAAATTCATGTTGTGCCAATTCACCAGAAGATTATACCTATATTAAATAACTAGAACTGGAAGTTATAGTTAATTAACAGGTAAACAGGCAAACTCAGAGTTTCTGAAGATGCCGGTCAGCATGTAAAGTCAATGATGAATGTCATGATTTGGCGGAATCCTTCATTGACAGAGACAAGCAGTCAAACCAGAGTTTGGAATCTGCCAGTCCAGAGTGATGACCTAAAGATGCTTTTTTAACATTACTAGCCACAACCAGAAAGACAACATGCCAAGGCTCAGAATAGAGGGCCCAGTATTCAGACAAGGAGAAAGTATGATCTCTAAAACATGTTTATTAGATATGACAGATTTGCAAAAAACAGCTAGGGCAACTAAGGCAGGAACCTCTCCAGGAAGAAAACACAGGTTAGTGACCACATTAATCTGGCAGAGGAAGATTATCAGTGTGTGAGTCACTAACCGGGTGTTAAAATTCAGTCTGTGCCCAGAGGAAGAGGTAGTTTCCAGCCAGTTGGCTGGGACAAGATGCAGCAAACATGGCCCAGAGAGTCCCATTGAAGCCCCGAACACTGAAGAACATGCAGGAGATCCAAGCAGACGAAGAAAGGCAGGACAATCCAGAGGGCGAAGCCAATGGTGTAGAGTAGAGCCACAGAAATCTGGGACAGAAGACCAAAGATCCGAGGACTTACCGAAGGGAAATTCAGGTCAGTCTCAGGAGGCAGTTCTAGGTTTTGTTAACAAGCAGTTAAGTCCAATGACAGGTCAGGCAAACAGATCAGAAAGGGAACAGTCAGGATCAAAAGTCCCCAGGCAGAACGGATCAGGCATCAGAAACAATAATATCTGCTAGAATACTCTCAGCTGGCAGAAGACAGGTTAAATAGAGACTGGAGCAGGTGAAACAGATGAGCATTAAGGAGAAAACTGGGCGGAGCTAGACAGCTGAATGGAATAGCCAATCTAGTCGTTAGCGCCATGCGATAATGATACAACAGTACGGTTTTTAGAGACAGGACTTGCTTAAAAGTAACCAATCACAGGCAATTTACTTTCTCCAGTTGGTTATTGCCTGACAAGTGACAAAGTGTGACAAAGCTAAGCAGAAACTGATCCACAAGCAAGCCACAAAAGAAGATAATTTAATATGTGCGATTTTTTATTGAAACTTAATGCATGAAACATCCAAAATGTATGGTGAGAGTAGGTTACCTTGTGTGTTTCAAATAAAACTGCTTGTATGAGTGTTACTGTATTTACAGTTTTTCATTTTTGGCAGAATTCTGACTTGTCAAAAGTCACTTTCATTCAGTCCATTTAAAAATAACAGCCAAAAAGAAGTGTTTCTAGAAAGGAGCTCTATGCCATTTAATGAAATTGGCTTGAGGGTTGCTTTACATAACTAACTGATTCATACAAGAACTGTCATATGAAAAAACAACAAACTTTTAGCTTTTAGGTTTTTTATATAACAAGAGAAACCATGCTAAAATAAATCTTGGAAAGTTCACTTTGTAGACATTTCTTTATTCTTTTACTTAAAGATCCCAACCCCCTGGGAGGCGGTTGGTCTTTGAAGCTCCACAGCTAAAACACAAATGCTGCTGTAAATATGCTGCTGTCAGCATTAGAAAAGCAGTCTATCTGCTTTGATTAGTGTGTCTCTTAGTGTTCAAAGATCTGTTTAACACCCTCATTTTAGTATTAATAGTTTCATTTACATTGCCTCTTTTCTTAGTGGAGTATCCAGCATATGGCAAAACTCACCAAACAGCAGCTTTTCGATGGCTGCACCCAAATGTCCTCCCAGTGCCACAGCTGAAGACCCACAAACTCATAGAGTGGAAATCCATGTTCATTAAGTTTGCCGTTGTTGATCAGTGAAGTATAGATCTGACATCTGTTTTCGCCTGACGTTTCCAATATTACACCTCCTCGACATAATTGTGCTCATTGTGGCTATTCAGAGAAGATGTGCTGCATATTCTCATGGAGACATTCACAGATGCAGCAGTTAGATGAAAGCGGACGATAGAGGAAAGCAACTTCATCTGGAAGCACTTTTGTTTCTGCTGCAGTAAAAAAAAAAAACATATGCTCTGAATCCTCGCCCCTCTGACTCCTGAATTTTTTAGATGATGAAAAAAAATATTTGTATCAAAGATAAAATGATAGAAAACAATCTCCAGTTCAGTTCTGAAGATTCTAGAAGACACCATCGCCTAATCTGCTTTGATACGGCTATAGGAGAGGGGAATGTCAAGTTTTGCCAGATTATATTTTCAAAACTCAAAATAAACTATAAAGTAATTCATAGAATTCAATAACATTTTACTGAACCCAAAACCAACATAACTCAATCTTATGTTGTCACGTTCAACTTAATGACTGTTGGCAGAGTCGCACAGTGGATTAGGCTGTGTATGAATTAAAGGAAGACAGATTAGATATTAATGCAACAGTTTCATAGAAAAAAAGAGGTGTTGTAAATATATTTATACCTTGCTTTTTAATCCATTGTGGAAGCCTTGTGTGATGATTCCTAGCTCTAGTGCTGGTCTGATTCATGATAGGACACACCTGTCAGCTCCATCCAGCTCAATCAGCCTCCACCAGCTCTCAGACCAGTCACTTGGGCCAGATTATTAATAGCCATCAGTGAGTTTAATCCAGCCTTCCTGTTACCTGTCCGCCTTCTGGATTCTGAGCGGATTCTGCCTGCTGATTTTCTGAGCCTGCCCGAACCCTATCAGACCTGTCATAGTGTGTTTTTGGATCTCTCACCTGTTCTCTGTGCCCTGACCTTGCTCTTGGATTCTCTCCTGGATTGTTTCTGGATCTGGGATCACCTGGCTCTGACTCTGGACCAGCTCTCAGATTCCAAACTCTGGTTTGCCTTGCCTGTCTCTGCTCTCCCGCATCTGATCCTGTGCTTTCCTTGGACCAACGATTAACAAAAGAAGATTCCCGCAAATCAGCCTGGATGGATTCTGGAATCCTCTGAGGTTCCCCAGTGACGTCATTCACCAACCGGCTTCTTCACAAACTCTCAAAGTTGGTCCTCAAACTCTGAGAAGAAGTTCTGGTTGCCGACTCTGGTGAAACCCTCCAGACCTGCAGCAGTTTCACTTTCTAATAAACTGTTTAAATGTCTATCATTTTTCTTGTAATTTCTGGAAAGTAAATACAAAGTGAATACACTTTGTATGTGTGGTTCTCAATTTAAATGGGTTTAAATAAACAATATTCACTGTTCTTTCTCTGACTGCCTTTTAGCACTGTTGTGCAAGTTTACCAGAAGATTATGAATATATTGAATAACTAGAACTAGAAGCTGTAGATAATAGGACATTAAAATTGAGGGTAACATCGGCTGTTTAAAATACAATTGCCTTTACCAATTTAATAAATTGGACTATGGTTTACAGCAGAGTTATTAATCGCCAATAAAAGAAATGATGCTACTGAAAGAAGAGAGAATCCAACCTGAGTGAAAAATCGTTTACTGTGTATAATGAACAGAAAAGACCACAGGTTAAAATACATTTATCTTTATTAGCTAATAATCACACAGGATTATTCTATCTAATGGCAATATCAATAAAACACTACTGAATATAAACACATGTAAATAAAGCAAGTAAAAAGGGAAATGGAGTCTAACAGTCTTTTCTAGAGTGTCTGAAGAAAGTTCAAGTTTTAAGGCTTAATGCATTGAATGTGTCCTTTAAAATTGCAGCAGATAAATTTCAATAACTCAGAGATATTAAATTCAAAAATATCCAAGTTTCACCCATTAGGGTAAAGTCTAAACCTTCTATTATTTCAGCAAACCTCCAGAAACCTGCACTTTATCAATTAGTGACAATAATCTAAAAGTCACCTTATCTGGTCCAAGAGACCAACTCATCTATTTTTACATCCTATATGCAGTCACAGATTTTGGTTTTATTTTATCTCAGCCACTGTTCTGATTATTCAGCAGTCAGCTCTAAATGTATCCGCTTCATCTAGATTATTGCAGGGTTCCTTCCCCCTGCTCCCCTGATGCTGATGAGGAGGCTTTAGTGTTCCTGTCTGAGGTAATAAACGGCCAGGCCAGCTGTGATTAATACATGTTTACTCTCAATGATTAGACTAAGATTTTCAAACAAGAGTTTTCAACAGATTGGTTGCATTCAGGGCTGGTGTACACTTCATAGCTGAAGCCATTCTTTAAGCTGAATCATGTAAAAATGACTGAAAGTTTGAAAAACAAGGAAATTATTGTGGTGAAGGTCAATAGTGATGTTATATGTCTGTAAAAAAAAAGAACAAAAACCATTGTCTTTGTTAATATATCAGAATTATGCTTAATTTGGTGTTACTAAGCAGTTGTTTCAGCTACTTAATGGACCTACTCAGAGTTGATTAATCTAACTCACACCAGCTTTTATGAAACGAAAACTCAAGAGTTTCCAATCTGTGGCTAGATCAATTCAGAGTTGAGGATTTAATTCTGAGTTTGTTAAACCTGCTTTTTAAAACCAACCTCTGTTTTTTTTTAAAAGTCTTTTACCTTTTAACATGTGTTTTGGCTGGAAACAGTTGGCCACATCTGGCAACCCTGGAGGCAGAGGTGGATAATTTCCATTCAAAGTTAAAAAGAAGTAGTTTATGTAGCAGCTGATCTGCACAGTGACA